GGGATGGAACCTCACTATGGTGCATCAAAGCTCACCCTGCTAGGGTGCACTTCACGTGCATCAGACCACATTCATTTCCCCCCATTCTTTCATTGTATCATAACGGGCCTACGTGAGACCTGCAATGACGTACCCGTTACCTGGCCTAAGTGGGCTTGGGTTTCGTATGAAGGACTCACAAGTGAGAGAGCGTATTAAATATAATACCAATTGTGAGTTGCCCCACATAGTTTATACTGGGAAAACAAGCCTAACTTATAAGCCTAGTGGGCTACTCCTCCATCCACCAATTAGTTTTGGGATGGAACCTCATTGTGGTGCATGAAGGCTCACCCTGCTATGGTGCGTTTCACGTGCATAGGACCGCACCCATTACCCCCAATTCTTTCACTATCTACTAGTCTGCCTTATTAGACTGTCTAATCGTGCAACTGGCTTGAATCACGTCGAGGTAGAGTGTCACGTATGTCGAACTTATGTGTCTTGTCTTTCTGGTCGATCACACGACCGATCATACCTTCAGGTCGAGTTTCCACCAGGTCGTCTGAGGACCTTAATTCGATCTGTCCTTGTCTCTTTAAACCTCCAATGTTTTCCTTGACCTAAAGACTCATAGTTCCGTATTAACGTTCGACTTCTGTTCGACCTATCAGTGCTCTTGTTCGACCTATCAGTGCTCTTGTTCGACCAACCGGTCTGCCTGGCCTGATCAGGAGTATCCCATATCATCTGGTCCCCCTACTCTGGTCGAGTTAAGATAACTCGATCTAGGTGTAGATTTTTGTTCTTGGCTTTGGTTGGTGAGTTCCAACTCTTAATTATCGACGTGGATGCTCACATTTCCTTTAATTCTGCAACACAATCTTCGACCTCTCTTCATGGTCTTGAATTAAAACCTCAAAATTCAAATCTATGCCTTCTGTAAGATTCCATCAGTCACAACACCTTATCAACTTCATCTCTCCGTAATTCGCGTTGTCCACGAACAATGTACCCATTAAATCCTCCTTAAATTAAGACCCCTCGATCTATCTTTAATATGATGGTTGAGATATTGCTGTCTCTTCAACTTGCTTATCTGATCTTAGACATTGATTATGATCACAATCCAACAGCTTTCACGCGGCCTGTCCATTCAACTTTGCCCCTTTGGATCCTGACCGTTAATTTCTCCCTCGATCCGAAGGCTCTACATGACCGCCTTTCTAGTTTGCCCACTTGACCTTGACCGTTGATTTCGACCTCGATCCAACGTCTAGGTCGCTCAACTTAAACGCATCATCACCTATAAATACCCCATTTGTTTAGATTTTTTGGTTTTCCTCATTTGCTAAATTCTCCCTACTATACTTGTGTTTTTCTTTTTCTCCGGCAAGCCAGTTCCCAGGATCCATCGTATTTCGCCGTCCTCCACCTCAATCCACTAATCCATACAATTCTTTTGAATAACCAACTCTGATTTCAACAATAAGTAAGTTCTCTATCTCTCCCTTTTAATTTTGTTTGTTTGATTTGTATTTTTCCTTTTTCTTCTCCCTTTTTCAACTCTTGATTTTTTGAAATCCCACATTTCTTCCAAATCCTGAATTTTCTCCCTTCTTCCTTTTCTTTTTTAGATTCTGCCACCTCCAGTGAGGGCGATAGATTCTCCTACAAGAATACGACTCCTCCATTATCCACTTCCACCTCTCGGCCTCCGTTTACCCCTTCTACTCCTTCTTTGGAAGTCATTCCGCAGCCGATCCACAATATCTCCCGCTTCATACTCTCTGACCTCGTCCCAATCCCCTCGACCTAACCAATCTAGTCCCGCAACACGTCTTCTCATCGGCCCCTCAGCTTAGTCAATGAGCCTAAATCTGAGGGGTAGGACGACTCTGCTTAGGCACGCTCTGCTTTCTTTTTCTCTTCCACCTAAATCATTTTCTTCGACTTCTCGAGCCAAACCATCCAATGTCAACCTCTACCACCAAAAAGGTATCAAAAGGACCCTCAACCGGCTTGGTTCAGCCTAATCTGGCTTCCTCGACAACGGATGACCTTCCAAGACCTGCAAAACCTCCACACTGGAGGGGTTTTCTGGTGAAGAGCCTCCGATGCTTAAGTTAGAAATGTGAAGAAGATGATGAACAATATGTAAGTGTATATAGATTATGTAATGTTATAAATGGCATGAACAGTATGTATGTGTATATAGATTATGTAATGTTATAAATGGCATACTTCACTCTCTTTTATAGAGAGATATTATCTTGTTTCTGAAGACTGCCCCGGTAAGCTTCTCGAACTGCCCAAACAGTCCGTCCGTACTGCCCAATTCTGTTAGGCCATATCCACGGGCTGTCCTTATCCTGTTAATATTCCTTCTTATCCATTAGTCTGTCCTATTAGACTGCCTAATCGTGTGACTAACCCGAATCACATCGACGTAGAGTGCCACGTATGTCGAGCTTATGTGTCATGTCCTTCTGGTCGATCACACGACCGATCATACCTTCAGATCCAGTTTCCACCAGGTCATTTGAGGACCTTAATTTGACATGTCCTTATCTCTTTAAATCTCCAATGTCTTCCTCGACCAGAAGATTCCTTGTTCTGTACTGGCGTTGCACCTCCGTTCAACCTACTATTGCTCTTGTTCGACCAACCGGTACGCCCGGCCTGGTCAGCTAGTTTATCGGGTTTGTTCTACTTGGTGAGGTATCCCATATCATCTGGTCCCCCTACTCTGGTTGAGTTAAGATAACTCGATCTAAGAGTAGATTTTGTTTTTGGCTTTGGTAGGTGAGTTCTAACTCTTAATTATCGACTTAGATGCTTGCATTTTCTTTAATTCTGCAACACAATCTTTGACCTCTCCTTGTGGTCTTGAATTCAACCTTCAAAATTCAAATCTCTACCTCCTGTTAGATTCCATTAGTCACAACATTTTATCAACGTCATCTCTCCATAATTCGAGTTGGCCTCGTACAACGTACCTAGTAAATTTTCATTAAATGAAGACCCTTCGATCTACCTTTAATCGGATGGTTTAGATATTGTTGTCTCTTCAACTCGTTTCACTGATCTTAGCCATTGATTATGATCACAATCCAACAGCTTCCACGCGGCATGTCCTTTCAACTTCGCCCCTTTTGATCTTGACCATTAATTTCGCCCTCGATCTGACGGCTCTGCTTGAACCTCCATTCCACCTTGCCCACTTGATCTTGAATGTTGTTTTTGACCTCGATACAACGTCCAGGGTCGCTCAACTTAAACGTTTATTCACTTATAAATACCCCCTTTATTGAGAATTTTTGGTTTTCCACCTTTGCTAATTTCTCCCTACTATACTTGTATTTTTTATCCTTCTCCGGCAAGTCAGTTCCCAGGATCTGTCGTGTTTCACCGTCCTCTAACGCAGTTTCCTACTCCATGCAATTCTTCAGAGTAGCAAACTCTAATTTATACAATGAGTAAGTGTTTATAAGTATTCTCCTTTTTTGCTTCTTGCTTTTTCAACTCTTGATTTTTTGAAATCCATCCTTTTTCTTCCCATTCTTTCTTCCAAATCCAGAATTTTCTCCCTTATTCTTTTTCCTTTTCAGATTCTGCCAGCTTTAGTGAAGCCGACATATTCTCCGACAAGGATATAACTTCTCCGTCATCCCCTTCGACCTCACAGCCTCTGTTTACCCCTTCTCCCACTCCTTCTTTGAAAATCATTCCGCAGCCGATCTTAATCTCTGTCATCCTCTCTATCATTGTCCCTATCCACTCAACCTGACCAATTAGTCATGTGATAAGTCCTCCTCGTCGGCCCCTCGGCTTGGTCGATGAGCCTGAATCTTAGGGGGAGGGAGACTCTCCCCTTAGGTCCGCTCCACATTCTTTTGCTTCTTCATCTAAAACCTTTCCTTTGACCTCTCGAGCCGGTCCATCCCAACGTCGAATTCTTCCACCCATTGTCACTGGAGAAGAGATCGAAGTGGAGTCCCCTCCTCATCCTAGTGCTCATGTTCGTCTTGCCTTTGTTTGTGAGCCAAGAAACTTCAACTGAGTCGATCCCGAGTGGATTGCTGATTTTTTTACTTGTTCCAGCTTACCTTTTGATTGGTGTTACATTATTCCTTGACTGTCTGACGTGTGTGAACACCCTCCCCTCGGTTGCCTTTTCTTCCTTAGAATCAACTTTCTCCGAAATCCATTCGTCACCTCATTTCCTTTTATATTCTTTTCTACATCTGATTAGGTTGAATTGACTTAAATTTTTCTTTTATTCTTTCATAGACAAAGACCAAAAGGAGGGACTATACCTATAAGATTGCAATAGAACCAAAATTTTGTCTGACATCCCTTCCAATGTCCCTAAATGGAAGAGAAAGTTATTCTATGTTCGATCTTCTTCTCCTCTGCCCTTTGCCTCGACCCCCTGGCTTGAGGTTCTACCCTAAATCTCGCCCGTAACCCCGAGTTTGAACTCCGCATCGTCAGTTGGATAGTATGTAGCATAAAGACTGGTTTTCGGTTAACTTTTCGTCAAGAATCTTGCCTTAGTGGATCAAGAATGGAAATTGTTGATATTAATGATATTTGCATGCGATTTTAATTCAGCTTTCATTATTAGACATATTGCATATGTTTCTTTCCGAGAGTGAAATAAATTGGATCTTAGATATTTGTCTGGGATATTACTTGTTAATAAAATCTGACTTTTTGATTTAGAATTCGAATTTTTTGGGAAGTTATTTTTGTGCTAAGTATGGTGGTTTGAATTTGAATTTTGGTGGGATTTCTAGTCTTGGTAACCGCCTATCTACTCTCTCTCATCACCTTGATATTGGTAACCAATTTTTGAGCATATCTTCTGTCAAATTTGATTAATAACTCCAACACGCCACCATCTTTTCATCTCCCTTCTTTTTACCCTAATTCCACTTTCCTTCACCCAAAAATTCCCAACTTTTCTTTTCGGTTCTCTCTCTCAAATTCAATCTCTTCATCACTGTTTCTACACTATGGCCGACAGTGATGACAAATCCAAGAAACGTCGCAAGAGAATAAAGGTGCGTGCTCATAAGCGTCCTTGCTACACCATTGTTGAGTCTCCGGCGCATTCTCATGAGTCGGCACCCTCAGATACACCAATTCCACCGGTGATTCAGGTTGACACCCACCGCTCTTCGTTTGTCACATCACCTGGCAGCCCGTCCTCTGGTACTTCTCGGCCAAAGACCGAAGAAGGTGTTCATATGTCTGAGCCCCCTAAGTCCCCACCGGTGGTTGTCACTAAGACCACTCTGGTGGAGCCAGTTGTAGTTCCTACACCTGGTGGGCAATCGTCGAACACTGACGGCAAAGAAACAGATGCTGTGACCAAATCGCACTCATCTGAGACTCCTCTCAAGGACGTTGATACCATTGAAGTTCATTCGGACCAGGAAACTCCCGTGCGCAGATCTGTTACTCATGTCTGTCGGTCGGCTCGTCGCCGCGGCAAGGAACCCTGGTGGATGTTGAGGCAAAGAAAGAACCTGAAGAGACGCATATGATCTTGCCAATGTGTTTTCAAACAGGTTCTAAACCCTGTATGCTCAAAACCGCTTTGATATGTTTACCTCGTATTCTTTTATGTCCGAGCGTCCTGCAAGTGATGAGAAATTTGATAAGTTCGGTGTCATCGCCCTTATTTCCAGTGTGAGTCTGTCTGGTACTTTGTCTTGTTTTCAACCGTTTTGTGGTCAAGCTATTCATGAATTCCATGCCAATTTGACCCCAGTTGTATTCTTACCCGATAGCCCTCGTTTTCAGAAAGTTTTCCTTTGTAATCGTGTTGTTGATTTTCCCCTGCTTTGATTAATGCTCACTTGGGTCTTCCTCATAATCTTGTTGGCCTCCCTGATGTTGACTTGGATACTCTCACCATGGTTATTACGGATAATCATTTGGATAAGTGGCCCAGTTCTAATTTGTTCGTGAACTCCCTTTGCCTTACCGCCAATTTGCTTTACAAAATTGGTGCTTGCAATTGGACTCCCACTACGAATAAAAACCAGCTTACTGAGCTCCAAAGCAAGGTGATTTACTTGGTTCTTGTTGGCCAACATGTCAAACTTTGGTGATGTTGTTTTTGAGATTCTTCGCCCCTTTATTGCTAACCCTGATTCTCTTTTCCATTCCCTTGCTTGATCTGGTTGCTTTGTCTGCTGCAAACTTCACTGCCAATCCTCGATATGTTGATACACTTTTCGATGTTGGTTCCGCGCTGCAAGTTAGTAGATGGACAATCAATGTGAGAGCCACTCCTAAATCTAAGGTGGAGCCTGTCCCCTATGCAGTTCCCAAGTGGGAGGACTTCATCATGCAGTAAATTGCAGAGTAGGATGAACGCGAAAATAAAGCCAATTCCCAACTCACCTATCTTCGACAGGTCCTCAAGGCTGTTCGTGCTCCGAAACGTAAGAACACGGGGAAAGGCCCTTCGACATCTCGTAGTTCAGAAAAGGGGGAGAACAAAGATGGAGATGAGGTAGATGCTAATGCTAAGGACTCATGGGGAGATTATACTGATGATGTTGATGTTGCTATTGCTGTTTGATCACTTTATTTGTTTTGAGTGTTTTGGGAGTGATGTAGTGAGGTCTTATGTAACCTCTTAACTATTTGTCTTTTGTGTGTTTACTGCAAGTATTTTCTGATGTTGCTTGGGAGCTTTTGATATTCTGAACTTTGGTTGTTTATGTGCGTTGATGATGGTATTGGTTGGTTGTAGTTTGTTTTGATAATATTAGCTGCAGTGCTTTCTGTTCAGAATTGTGCTCTTACACAGTTGACACTTGTGATATTCTTACTGCAATAATCTAATCCTTGTGTACTATTATCTGGTATATTTTTGCTTGCCGTTCTTACTTGTTACAGTAATCTTCACTATATGATTTTCGAACTAGATGCCAAAGGAAGAGATTAAAAGAATTACTTTTTGCAATAAGTTCAAAAATAATATATTGAAGATATATTCATGCAAGTAAAAGGAAATTTTAATGGAAGATCTTCTTGTATTTATTTATATATATAATTCGATTTTCATGATATTTATATTGCAATTATTTTGTGATCTTATTTTGTGTTATATTTTGTAGAGGTCACGGACGTATGCATGGAGGTGCAAGTCGACGTAAAGGAAAGAAGACCAAGGAAGAGAGATGCGACAATATCTACTTACCATCTTTAAACCTCAAGCTTTGGAATGAAATTACAAAGAGAAGGAAATTGATTGAAAAAGACTTCACGCCTAAGGAGTCTTTATATACCCATCTTGAAGAATAATTCAAGGTTGCTGAGATCGAGCATTCAGTTTAGAATTCAAGCTTTTGTTCTATAATTTTGTTTCGTTGTTCAGCTCTTCGGTGTTCTTACACCATCGAAGAACTGAAGTCGTTTTCTTTAGTTTTTTGTACTTTTTTCAGAAACTTTGTTTTAGTACTTAGGGATTAAGTACTGGGTTTGCTCTAGGGATTCGAGTGTGTAAAGTCCACGAGACGTGGCCAGAGAAGTAGTTGGTAGGATTGAGTATAATTGGCTAGGCTAGAAGGGGAGTTTTAGTTGTATAAGTCCAAACTATACACGTGTGCACAATCGATCTATTAATGAAAGATCTCTGATGGGTAGTGGGACGCTCATGAAGAGTTTTTTATCTCTTGTTTTGTGCTTCCGCAATTATAACTTTTCTGGTGTTACAACACAGTTTGACAAATATACAGAAATTCCGTGTTCTAACACAGTTGAGAGCACTTTACGATTAACACCCACATTTCAGTATCATGGAACTAAAACAAACATGAGTTAACAACGAACACTGAATTATACAACAATTTATATTCATGCAAGTCCATATTAGTTCAACAAAATAACTTCTTTATTAACTCAATAAATCACTTTTTGAGCCATAACGATTCGAATCTAACCAATCCATACATATTTATGGGTAATTTACATACATCCTACACTTTTTGTAAATAATTGCAGTTTTACGTTTGGCAACAAAGAATTTGTATCAATACCCAACTCTTCCAAAATAATTATACTATTGCATGAAATTTGTTTCCAAATCAGAAAGTGCCTTAAAAACCATAACTGATTAAAAGTAATCTCTCTCCTCTCTCATTTATCTACTTCTAACAAATCTCCATTACACTATTTCCTATTCCACACACTATCTTCCTTATTCATCCGTTTTTTTTTCTTTGTCTTCTCCATTATTTTCTCCTTCTCTCCCCTCTTCTCTTTATTTCATTTCCATTAAATTTTAATTCTCTCTCCACGTAAATTTGTAAATAATTTTAACAGTAAATTTTCTAGTTTATTTTTCAGTTTATTATAGGCAGTATATATTGCGTTTATATTTAATATATGTTCAGTGTTTTTTAATAGAAAATATATATTGCGTTTATGGTCCTTATATATTTAGGGAGTAACTATCTCATATTTTTTATGTCAAGACTATATGACCAACAAAAATAATAATTTGTGATTGATTTTGTTTATCTCTGGTTTATGTTAAGCATATAAAAATATACAACACACATATACATAAAATACACATAAAATATGCATAAATATACACTCGAGATTCTCGTAATTCAAGCCAGCGACATATCGGGACACACATATACATAAAATATACTTTAAATATACACTAGAGTTTCAATCTTTTCTCATAATCGATTTCAGAACTCACATATACATAAAATATACATAAGATATACACTCGAGATTCTAGGAATTCAAGCCAGTGACAGATCGAGACACACATATACATAAAATATACTCTCGATGTTCAATCGTTTCTCATTTCAGAACCCAAAATAAGAGCCGAAACCGCATCCATGGCCCTCTTCTCTACATCCGCAAGCTCACTCGACGATGTCGGTTCTTCCCCTCCTCGATAGCGACGGGCGTATCTCGGTGGCGTTACCTCGATCGGCCGAGAATTGTGCGATGGGGAGAAGGAGATGGATTCCACAATCGGTAATCTACCCCCATCGTCGGAAGTCGTCGCTCTTACACCATCATCGCGCTCGAGAAGCCGCCGGTGATGAAGACATGGCGAAGCCGCGGATTGCACCATCAGCACGCTCGATTTCTCTTCAGCAGCAGGTTGTCGAGAAGCCGCGAACAAAAAAAAAAAAATCTCATCATATAAACATGTAGAAGAATAAGAGAGAGAGAGAGAGAGAGAGAGAGAGAGGGAGAAGAAAATAGAGGGGAAGAGAGAGAGAATAAGGAGAAGAGAAGGAGAGTTATTCGTCCTCTTCAGTTGCCGAACCCACCCGCCGGTGCCACGCCATTCCATCTGTTGCAGAGGATGAAGCGTGGGTCAGTTGTGGAGTAATGAAGCATGAAAAGTAGGATCCGTTTTTTATTTGGTAACAGATCTCACTAAATCCGTTCTGATCCCTTTAAATTCTTTGTATGTGTGCAAATAATATTCATAAATTTTGTAAATTCGCTAAAAAGTTTAATGGAGCCGTAAAACTGCATATAAAATGTTGTGGGAACATGTGGGGTAATTTTCTCAAGATTTTATCATATAGTAATTCGGATGAGTAGAGGAAGGTAAAAATGCTAAATTTATCTAACAATTTTGCATATGTATCATTTTTGTCTGTTAACTTTATGGGTAGCAATTTTTGTCATTTGTAATTATACTATTTTATTTTGAAAAAGAAAATGTTATCTGACAAATATTGCTAAAAAAAGGTATTCAATGGACCAAACCTGTAAATCTAAGCTAGTCGACTAAAATTGCTATGTCCAAAATGTTAATGAAATAATTTTGCATTTTTTCCAAGAGGAATAAATCAATTTTCAATTATATGATTTTATTGGAATTGCACTCTAGAGAACATAAATGCAATGCTTTACATTGGGCATGGACATCCATATACTAAAGGAAGATACAACATTTTTTCAATTTCAATTCTATGAAATAAAATAAAATATCATCAACTATCAAAGTTAATTATCGTGTCTTCTATAATACAATGTGAAATATGCTTTAAGTGCTCAAAATATTTCATTCTAATTCATATAATCTGGAATACCGAGTTTAGAACTGTTCGACGGCAGATGCTACCAACATCTTTATCAGCCACAACGCCGGATTCCACATGGGCTGACCTGCAAAAATAATTAGAATTTAGAATACTGTGTTGTGTGAACAGGTTTAAAAGGACGCACTAATTTCAAATTGTAACTCTGTATAATAAGGGAAATCTCTTCCTGCGAGGCTACATTTATCACAATACTTTTTTTAATCCTGTACATACGTTGTTTATTTTTGTTGAAAATCAAATTTGAAAATCCAAGTTCACATACTTCTCCATTTAGTATCCCAAAATTCAACTTCTTAAAATTGACGCCCCAAATTTCATAAATTAATCACATCTAGTATTTTTGTTACTTAATCATCATTGGCTAACAGTGAACTGAAGATGCAGTCGTTGAATTTTTTAAAAAATTAAATTTCTAGGAAACCTTTTTATGTCAAATCTAACGGTGCCCCTCAATCTCAATCGGCACTCTAAATGTCTAGGAATTGGCTGTGATTCAGGCAGGCAAGGCACGTAAAAATCATAAACTTTTTTAATAGGCTCCATTCTGGTAATCCAAGTATTAACCTCATCGAACTTGACAATTAAGGGATAACTTATTGTAATATTTGATTTGAGTAACCGATATATTAGCTGATAACTAATAACTATTTGTGGATTGGTTTTGTAAAATGACTGATAAGGATCACACACACACACACACACACACACTCTTAGTAAGGCCTCACCTAAGGAAAGTTCCAACCAAGCAAGATGCTTAAATGATGGCTGAACCTACCCTGAGCATAGATATCATGAAAGTGGTGTCTGAACTAGCTAGCTCCACGCATAATGCAAAGAGTTCCACCATATTTTTCCCCCATTACTGCCTTCACAATTCCAGAAGAAGAGCAGAAGGTGCATTAACGAACATTGATGAGCATCTCGAAATAACAAAACAGAACAGAAATCCAGATTTCTCAAAAGAAAAAAAGGAGTAAGGCAAGGAGCAGATAGAACCTGCAAGTGAGGAAGTATGCCATTGAAGACTTGTAAAAAAATTTCGGATTTCACAGCTAACCTGGGGGAGCACAAAAACAGATCATTAACGAATAATGGACATTAAAAGAATACGAAGAGAACTTTTTAATTATTAGAAGTAACATGTTTCAGGAGTCAGATACTAAGTGCATAAATCTATCAGGAAGAATAGTTATGTCAGCATACACTCGTTATATCACAGAATCTAATCACAATACAATCTAAAATCTGACTATAATCTAAAATTACCTTTTCATAAAATCTGACTATAATCTAAATTACCTTTTCAGAAGGCATATACAAAGATAAATCTCCTCAACATCCGTTGTAATTTTCAGATTCACGTATTGCTTGAAAAGCTCACATAGCCAACTCATGGTATCATCAGATGCGCTATTTGCCACCTCTACAGTTTGAACTAATCCAGACATCATATGTTGAAGTAGAGTAGACAAATTACCACCAGATACTAACCGATAATTCATTGCAAAGCTATTCAACGTGGTACAATTGCTCCTTTCAAACCTCTCAACCCACTTTGGAGGACTTCCGCTCCAAAGGTCACTTAACTCAGAAGCTGCACATTCAGTCTGTTTATCAATCACATAACTGGAAGAACCTTCCGCAGATTCTTGTTCTCTATGCTGGGGAAGATGCTCGATGATGTCTTTTCTCAACTCATCGGGCAATTGTTTCAACACTGAATGATCCACTTGACTTAGAGATGATGGCAATAGATTGTCTACAGAAAATGAAGGCATCGCATCATGAACTGTGGGTGCCTGCACGCAAAGCTCCATTTCCTTCAAAATACGAGATACTACAGAGTTAAGTAGCTGATTAAAAAATAAATGAATAATTACATCAAGTAAAGAAATCTAAGATTGTCAGTAAATGATCTTTTACAGTTAAAATACACTATGAATTTTTTTTTTTGATTAAAACTACAACCACTGCCCGACCTAGTAACTGAAGTAGAAGTTCAGTGGATACCTTATCACCATCAATTGTTTTTGCTAGAGGATATTCTGTTTCCTCAACTGGTACACCTAGATGCACAATAATTGCATGAACCACTTACAGCGCACCAAATCAGAGATAATGAAAAATAAATTTTATATGAAGCTATAATTTACTTGCCTTCCATACTTTGTGATGTAGAGTAGGGTTTTCTATCGACAGGTCTGTTCTTAGCTTTGGAAATGTGACTTAATAATTTTCCACCATACATGTCATTCATCTCTGAAACCACTTCAGGGGGGAGAGACTCCAAAACGACTATATCAAGATCTTCAAGAGGAGGGAGGCTAGTTATCAGGGAACCACCAGCTTCAGAACTGGACAAACCAGATCCCATTCCATCATAAGATCTTGTTATGCTCGGCTGACCTGAAAGTTCACCAATATGTCTTGAAGTATCGAAAGAGAAGTGAACGAACAGCCACTGGGATGTATCCATAAACACCACCAAATATGTTAAATTCAATTATGAAGTATCTTTCTTAAATACAGTAAATATGTACGGCATTTAGCAATGAGACAAAATATATGATCAAACTTCATAGAGCTCTTTTGCTTCAAAGATAAGAAGTAACTCAAATTTATTTAGCCTAGAGCGATTTAGATAAGAGATAATTAAGTCCCAAGAAATGACAATAGAAAAGAGGCTGCCAATTACTCAATTCCAGGAGAAAAAAATATAAAAGCTATGCAGCTGCAAATTTCTTAATTCCAGGAGAAAAGAATATAAAAGGACTGACAAGTTGCAGCATCAGTTGTTTACTGGAGCCAGACGAAAGTATGCTTGAAGGAAAAGAAAACATAAGGACCAAGATGGAACAGCAACTGAAATTTAGAAATAGAATGGTGACGAGGAAATCCAGAGCAAAAATAATAGGCTATTCTCAGTTTTGAGTTCCTTAAATATTGAATTAGGACAACAAATCATAAATATTTAAAGGACAATCGTGAAATGAAATCGCATTATGATTTTTAATCCTTTATAGCTTAAAATTAGAACAATAACAAAGAATAAATATATAAAGGACAATCAAGAAACGAAATTGCAACCATGTAAATAATATTGCATTCTTATCTCCTTAATAAATGGAGACCAAGGCAAATTTGAATTCAAAAAAATCTCTACTATCAGACTTCCCAGAAACCTATCAGATGAAAATTGAAACAACCTTTCTGAAGTTATAAGACGACAAAGGTATCACCTAAAATTGCGTCAAGATAAATCAGTTAAAAGTAAAAGCAACTAGAAAGACTATTGACCTCGGTTCCTAGTTCATTTTTCTCTTGAGCAATGCAGAAATGAACGAAATTCACAGGAGCATTAACAAGAATGAAAGCTAAAACCAATGAGTCCACAAAGCAAGAAACAAGGAAGTTAATGTGCTAGACTCTTTTCTGTTTACCCTTTCCTCTTCCAGTCTTTCTACTCTANCTGCCAGGGGAAAAATAAAGTTTCATTCAAATCACATTTTTTAGGACAACATAGTCATTCCAAGAAGAAAGAACGATGAATCATCAGGTTCATTGCTGATGTTCTTTGTACATTTGGAATCTGGAACAAATAAAATAACCTGAAAGAATATCCATACCAGCATTGCTAAGGTTGGAGACACCGCCAATTGGAATTTGGTCTCTCACCCCCCCTGATGTGGGGACAAGCCAAGGAAGGATGGAATTTGTTTTGTGAACTTAAAGAACGAAATAAGAATCAATTAACAAATGAGTCATCAGAACAAGGGAAAAAGTATATATGTATATATATGTACATACATATATATATATATATAAATATATATATATATAGGGGTTGGTACAAATAAAAACTAATCCTGGTGTGAGAACCGTGAGAACCATATTTGATGCTATTTTTAATTGTATGATGCTATTTTTAATATCACAATGTGCTATTATTTTCACAAATGCTAATATAAATTATTTTGCTATTTTTAATAAAGTACATCCATGTTAAAAATAACACTAAAACACAATCAATCATAGCAATACGTACAACTAAAAATAGCAGTTCTCACGCATATATATATATATATATACATAGAG